AACTCTCTACCTTCGATAGTTATGTTAGCATATGGTCTTAGATCTTTACCATGTTGACATCTAGTGATAGCTTCAGACACAGACTTTTTCAATAATTTATTTTCTTTCTGTTTCTTTCGCAGTTTTAAAATCTTTTGCTTATTTCTGTTTATCTTTTCGGTTTTATTGGTATATGGGATTTGTTCTTCAATATTATTTTCTTTTTCGGTTTGATCGCTAAATATTCTTGACCTAACTTCATTATAATGTTCCTCTCTAGTTTCTACTGGCAAATAATGACGACGTTTGGAATAATTTATGTCATCTTTCTCACACGCTAATTCGGTTGAGGGTTCGGATCCGCGGGTGGATCGGCAGAACGTAGGTTCCCCGCTGCAACCAGGTTCTTTCGGGAGTTTCCCGACCTACAGTTGGAGCATTTTGGAGTAATCGTATTTGGTTTACCACACTTGAAACAAAATAAATTTCTTTGGGATGAAGGACAGTCCCTAAAGCCATGGCCAGGTGACTGACAGTTCCAGCATATAAGCTGGGTTTTCATTGCTGCTATATCAACTACTTCTTCCGGTTCATTAGTATCCTGATAATCTTCTTGTTCTTGTTGAATAGCATTGATACGAACCTGTCTGTTATTACTTGGCATATTATTGATTGGCGTAGACATGGGTGCAAGTTCTCGGCGGAAAAATGTCTTCTCTATATCAATGCATTCAATTCTCAATTGTTCTAGTGATGACACTTGCATCGAATAAACAACGCTAGCTATATTCTTCCTCAAATTCCTTTTAGCTAGTGAGATCATCTCGTATTCTGGCACGGGCCTTTCCAACTTAGACCTCATTGAGTTTAGGTCGTGGAAGAACGAATTGATAGACTCTCCTGGCATTTGCTTGCGTTCTAACAGATCCCGCATTTCTTCGAAACATGACCTTTTTACTTTAAATCTTTCGCATAAAGCTAACTTTAACGAATCCCAAGTAGTGATGTTGTTATTCATCTGCTCAAGCCAGTACCATTCATTTGCAGGACCAGAAACTAAAACGTGAAATTCGTTTAGAATATCTCCCCAAGCTAAATTATAAAGTTTTTGGAAATGTTCTAAACGATAAATAAAGTCTTCTACTGCAAGTGTATTAGGTCTGCCGGAAAAATTTAACCCAAATCTTTCTATTTTGATGCCTTGGCAATTGTGGGAGCTAACAAAAGATGGGGTAATTGTATGACTCCTATTTAACCTTGGCTCGTTTTCCCTATATGGAGGAGAAGAAGGACGCATAGGATTTTGTACAGAGATAGGTTGTGTTGTTGGTATTGGTGGATCATTTTGATTTGTAATTGATAACCTTGCTACAGTTTCGTTTAATTTATCGAGTACAGAATAAACTTTTTCCATTTCCTTCGTAACACTCTGCTGAACCATGGACTGTAAATTAGCCTGGGCATGATTCAGACTGTCTTGAACCAAACTCCGTACGAGTTGGTCAACTTCAATTGGTCGAGTTGGTTGTGTCGTAGGTTGGGTTATATTAGGGTGCAAACCAGCAGCAGCGCTAGTGCTGGGATTAGGGTTATTGATTGTACCCGATAAATCCCTTATAGCTGGGTTAGCATTGGCGTTTGGGTTAGGCATTTCTGTTTCCTTTTTCTTGGTTTTTGGTCTCGGCGAAGAAATTGACGTTCTACTGCGATCAAATACTAAAGATCGATTTCTTTTTCGATGCTTTTTGCCTGCCGTAGCCGCGCTCATAGGATTGATATATTACGATTCAAAGTTTGTTAAGCAGTTAAAAAAAATTATAAAAACTTAAAAATTAAAACACATTAACTACACAATTACTAAATGCTATAATACTTAAAATTTATTTGTTAAACAAGTTGGTTTTTAGATTGTTAAAACATAAAAAAATTACAAAATATAAAACTACAAATGATTATTTTTTTGACAACAAACAATAACATATATGAGAGTTCTTTAGGAGTATTTTCAGTTATGTGTGAGATGAAGTGTGTGGGATAATAATTTTTTTGTTTATCAAAAACTTTCTTCTAAATTTAATAGTGGCCTTATTTGGGTTGTCATGGTGTATTGACTGGAAATGGATTGGACATATTACAAACATTGACATTGATTTTCTTGTTTTAGGGTAGTATCATGGCAGTTTTCTAAACTCATAGAAGAAAAGAGATCTCATGTAAAGAAAAATACGACAATACAGTCTATGGTCCATCGCCACAGCAGATATTGCACTTATTTTCACTACTATCCTAATATTATTGCATTTACTTTAAATTAAAAACACGGAAACATATAAAACAGGTCATAAAACAATACATTCTTTGTTACACTTCACGAACAAAAAGCTATTGCACTTGACCCTAAATCTTGGGATGAACTATCCTAATTTTCTAACTTACTAAACTAAATATTGCACAATTGACACAGTTCATTATTCTAAACAGTGGATGCAATATCCGTTAGTCGTTGGAAAATGCGACATTTCATCTTCAACTATTGTACCCTATAGGCTATTGCACAGTGCGTAGGTATTATTGCACATATTTCTATTCATCCTAGGCGCCATATTGTTATACAGTGCTTGGGATGTCATTTTTAAAAAATTTGGGCGCCATATTGTTACATTCATGCCTAATGCGGCGCTATGGTGGGGTTCCATGCTAGCTCAGTTTGGGAACATTTGTTTGTCAGGGGGAATTCTCAACCCTTGCCACCATCAACCCTAGGGAATGCACCAATTGAAAAACTGGATCATTTCACAAACAATTAACACAAAAACATATACACCATACATCCATGACACAGGAACTTGATAGTAATGTTCCCCCACTATGCCCGCCCTTCCTTGACCCTTTTGTCCATATTTTAAACGATTTTAAAGGGCCCCAATAGCCACACACACTTACCTCATTATAACATACGCCTAATTTCCTCTCTCACAAACAGAATTTAACACAACATAATTTCAAATATTAGACATACAAAAATTTATTGACATAGTCATATTCTTCTTAACCTAACATAACATCAAACTTTGGGACTATTAATACCCGCCAAATTAGTCTGTGAGTCAATGCTCAGATTACCTTTTCTACTACTAGATTTTTGCCAATTTCGGCCAATAATTAACTATTAAATCTTCTGCCTAAAAGAGCTCTCTTAGTAGGACAAATCGGACATTTTCATTTTTTTTTTGTCCACACAAAAACCAAAACACTAGTTAGATTTCGGAGGTAACCCTACACTCACGTATCAAACACAATTAGGTATTACTAATCCTCACAATTTCAAACTTATGCACTATTTAACTAACTACGGACAACACAATTTAACTTAAATACTAAACACAAATTTTCTGAGATTCTTTTTCAATTTTAGTCAATCCATAGATCAATTATTTTTAATTTCTTTTATGTTGATTGGTTTTTTTGTTTCAATTATCATTTTTTTTAGTTTCAATCATATTATATTAATTTGTTCTCATTTTTTTTAATTGCAGGTAAACGGAGGCTTCTTTTATCCTCATTCAAATGGCGTACAGACGCATTTCAGAAACAGGCACAGCACGGTAAGAAATATATGATCTGTTACCTTGTTTTTCCTTATTTCATTTCAAGTTTTTTCTTTTATTTGTTCATCGTTTTAGGACAACACCTCCAAGAATCAAAGGATTAGCCTCACAGTGTATAAGCAACACCACAAGTGTATGAGCAACACCTTGACATCAACACAAGATTATAGCCTCCAACACACCGGCAAAATCCCTCAGGATAATTGACCTCCTTTACAAAGCAGAGGTGTTTGTTTGGCCGAATTAATTATTATTATTATGTATTTTTTTGGTTATCAGCAACTCCAAATAAAAATGGCTTATATATTGCCAATATCAATTTAATTTTTTTGTATGTTTTACTTTCTTATGGATTGAGTTAATGTGCTCTGCACTAGGATTTACTATCTCCCCTCGATTTTCCTTCTTCACCCCCTTATATAGGCTCGAAAAACCCCAGCCAAAGGTTTCCATCTTTTTCCCTAATTTTCCCACAATTTTCTCCCATTTATTTATTTTCCTTTGAACAGCTGTTCTACTAAACCTGCCGATAGCGACAGGGTTGTATTTGACTCACGTCAATCTATCAGCGTCACTATTTTTGAATCAACCCTGGTCTTGGCATCACTTTTTAATTTTCGTTCATTGGTCGCCCTGCATATCCGGTTCTTTTTTCTTTTTGCCAATCGGAGTGCAGTTTTAAGTTTGCCGGTCTTTATAAATTTTTATTAAATTAAAAATTTATTTTAAGACGCGCGCAACATGTATTTGTTCCCATTGTCCCTTATCATACCTCTCTCTTCTAGTCGGGGTTTATACATGCAACTTTGCTGAGTTTTTAGATGTGAGAGGTATAAAAAGTGACAAGGGGGAAGAAATTCAAAAGAGAATCGTATAGAGCAGCAGCAGAGTTGCCTAAAAATGTAGCATGTATAAACCCAGACTTAGGAACTCGGCAAAGTTGCTCACAAAAGTTGCATGGTTAAGTCCTGAGTTTTTTTCATGATCGGTTATATATATCCCTTAACGCTTCATCTCCCATCTCCCTTTTCGTGTTCATCACACCACATTCGTAAACAATGTACGTTACCTCACCAATTTTGCTTTGGCTTGCTTTTTTATTAGGCATTCCCTCCTTTCTGTTTATTCGTAGCAATTGGAACACTTTTAATTTTAGTTGGGTCAGCATAAGAGCGAGTTTTTGTTTATAAACAAAAAAATGCAAAAAACAATATAAAAATATATATTTTTTAATAAATAATATAAATAAATAATAATATAAATAATTATAAATAATAAATGTGTGGGTAGAGAAATTGCAAAATGCGATAATGCAAAATTCCAGTAAGACAGGACACGACAGACACGCATAAATATTTAAATATTCATGTCCATATATCCATACATAAAGAAGCATAAAAAACAATAAAAACAATGACCAATATAAAAAGTGTTAATTTTTACGACTTGTGTCGAATTTGCACGACCACAACAACAAATACCGGAAAAATTGAAATATTTTCCGCTGAAGGAAAGTCTAAAAATATGAATGGAAAATTAGCGGAATGTTTATCCTTGAATGTGAGTACTTGCTCCAGCCCTAATGCAAATCATAAAATTTGGACATTTTGGGTATTTTTAGGTAGAGGAGTCGGATCGCTTGCCAAAAGTTGTGTGCCAACAATGTTTGCAAAATCTGGAAAATTTTTCGGAATTTCGAAATCTATGTCGGAATTCCCAAATGATGTTAAATTCATGCTTGGACTCGTCCCAGAATGGCGCAAAAGTTGTAGTAAAGGACACAGCTGGGAAATGTGGCAATGTACTTAATAGCGGGAATACATCTGCGACTTTGCAGCCACAACAAACATTGTCATTACAGCAACAACAAACGCCCTTTCAACAGCCGCAAACGCCTGTATTCACACTGCAAGGCTCGAATTTAGTGGCACAGGCAATGCCAACAACAACAAATGGAACAAATCAGGATTTCCTTAATTCCATAATGCAAGCAGTTGGAATACAGGTATAATATGCTTGCTCGTCTTATGTTTAACTCCATAATGATTTTTAACTTCTTCCTCTGCGTTTTCCAGCCAGAAAAACCTGCTGTGCCTCAATATACCATTACATTGGATAACTCGGCCCAACAGAATATTAATCAGCAGTTACAACAACACATGACAAATCAAGCTAATGCTGCAGCCGAAAAAGAAAAGGAGCTTAAGAATAAGTAGGTGCATTTCTTCTGGGTATCTTAATTGGAATTGAATTGTTTTTTTTTATTATTTCAGTGCCTTGGAGGAGTTTTTAAGGCTGAAACCAAATATAAAGGTAACACCTATAGGAAAGAAACATCAGCCGCAACAACAACATCAGCAGCAACAGCAAGTACAAGCCCAACAAGAACAAATAATCCAACAGCAACAAATTCAACAACAGCAGCAGCAACAACAAGAGCAATTAGTCCAACTTCAGTTGCAACAGCTACATCAGCAATTGCAATTATTAACCTCACAACTACAACCTCAACAAATCACCATTTCAGCGCCGCCTATTGCGAATATTACACAGCCACAGCTAACACAACAATCCAACAACGTAACCATACCCACTGCATTGGACGCAACAACATTTGCCAACTCTGACAATGAAGATTCCAGTCCGTCAAAGAATAAAAAGCCGAAATTAAATTTTGTACTCACAACTCCCAACAACAATAACAACACTCCGGCTGCTACCCTCTCAACTCCCATACCACAATTAACAACTTCCCAACTTGCCGCACCACAAATACAATTTCAATTACAACCATCCTTGGGACCACAAGCCATATTGCAAACTAATCAGCCCAATGCAGCTGCTGCAACGTTGCTCTCGAATTTAGCCCCACTTCTACAGCCACAAACGCAATTAAATGCTGCTGCCGCATTACAGGCACAATCGTTGGCCAATGTGGCCCAAAACTCATCTGCGAATATCTTGTCTCCCAATAAGTGTTACTTGCCGATAACAATTAAGGATGAAAATACAGATCAACAATTTGTGGCACATATTGATGCTAAGAATTTTATCTTACCCACAACATATCAATTGCAAATGAAGGTTTGTATTGAGTCTCACTGAAATTCGTCATAATCTCAAAAATGGTATTTATTTCCAGCTCCAACCACAAATAACCGGCCAACCCATAATGCAATTGGCACCAACCATACAATTAGCCCCCAATCAAACATTCCCAACAGCAGCCACTGTTGCAGCATTAAATAATAATTCTTCAGCTGTATCTATGAATCAGGCCCAGGCTTTACAACTGACTCCAGCCACACCACAAGTGCAACAGACACCAGTATCCAAACCAGAACTATCAACTCCTCAACAACAGAGTCAAACATTTAAACAACCTGCTCCTCCGGCTACATCAAAAAATATACAAATAACATCACAGCAAATAATTAATCCATCCGTAGATATTAAAAAGGAAGACCCCTCAGAGGAGAATAAAACAAAATCTTCATCCTCATCTCAGGATCAAGGCAGTCGTCCAGCATATAAGATATCACAAGCCCAAGGTGTCAATGCCATTGAAATAACACCAACCACCAGTTTTACCCAACAAATAATGCAACAAGTGCAACAGCAGCAAAAACAAAAACTTCAACAACAACAGCAGCAACAGCAGTCCAATAGTGCAACACTAACAACGCAGCATGGAGGAATAACGGTTCAACGTATAACAACAAAAACTTCGAATCAAAATGCTGTTCCCAACACAACGAACAGTGAAACTAATGAAAAGCATTCCAAAAAGTCTCCAACCCAAAATCTACCAAAATTACCGATTTTAAATAAAAATAATATAACAATAAGTCGTGTTACGACAACAACACAAAATCAGTCATCACAGAATCAAACGCAGAAATCCTTAATGGCAGCAAATCGTAATCAGGTTGTAAAAGTAACAACAAATGGGCCGACAACAAATACCACACTAAAAGTTGTAACACAACCCCAACCACCTAAAAGTCATTTGCAACTAACAGCAACGGTTACGCAAACTGCGGCTAAAAACTCCGAAACATCTCAACAGCAACAACAACAATCTCGGTCATTGTTAAAACAAAAATCTCAAATTATTGGCACCATAACTAAAACAACGACAAATTCTCCTTCACCAACAAAGAAATTTGTCAAGAAAATTAATTCCAATACGACCGGTGGTAGTACACCGATTGCCGAACAAAATCCCAGTACGGAACAAGGGCCTACGAATGATGCCACAACATCATCTACTACCGCTACGGATAGCATTTCCACACAACAGATTTCTGTAACCAGTGCTGATCTGAATACAAGTGGTTCTGGATCTGCATCTGGTTCTGGTAATAATATCGAATGTTCACAATGTGGTCGAGTTTTTAAGAAAAAGGAACACCTAACCCAACATTTGAAGTTGCACACCGGCATACGACCGTTTAAATGCAACGAAGAGGGCTGTCCCAAGGCTTTTAACCGCAAAGAACATTTATTGCGACATTTAGTTTCACATTCTGGCAAGAAAATGTTTAGTTGTGACATTTGTCAGAAGCCATTTTCTCGAAAGGATAATCTAAGTAAACACAGGAAGTAAGTAGTAATTAAATTAATATTTAAATATCACAGACTAAACTAAATACCAACTAAACTAAACCTAAACCTAATTAATTAATTTCAGAATTCATACCGAAACGAATGGTAATAATTTCGTTTGTGAAATTTGTAATAAAACATTTGTGGTCAAGGCATATTATATTCAACATAAATTGATGCATAAAACCAATACACAACAGACTGAGGAAGTAAGTTCGAACGAAATTTTTGGATAATTTTTTTTATAGGAAATGCTTAATGTTTTGCGATGAATTAAAATTTCACTAGCAACAAATGTGGAATATGAGGAAGTGATCTAATATTAACAAAAATTACTTCAACAATGTTTCACTTATAATTTTGAATAGCTTAATTTTTTAATTGAATATTTTAATGCAATTTTTTTTTATTTTTAAGGATAACAAACCTGATGATATTATGGATGAAAATAATACCAACAATAACAGAGAATCTCAAAATCAGAACGAGCAACAAAATCAACAACAGCAGCAATCATCAACCGCCACACAATTAGCCACGGCAACAATTTCTCAACAACCGCAACAAACCCTACACTATGTACCGCAAATAATGCATATGGTTACAACACAAGATATGTCCGGTAGTACAATAACAATACAGGCCACACCATCCTCATCGTCTTCGAATAATCCAAATTCTACAACTCTAAAAGGACACGATGCCACGGTATTAAATCTGCCCACGTCTTTAGCTAACTTTGTGCAATTGTCTCAGGCACAATTTGTTAATGCATCGACGGGACAAATAATGGGTCATTTAAAAATTGAGAAATGAGTTATCTATCTTCGGTTGCTGTGTAATCTCAAAACAATGTATACTTTGGGGATGTGTACAATATTTAAAGAAATGTTTTTAATGATTTCATAAAAGAAAAACCTATACCATTTTGTATACTGTTTAATATTTTAAGTATGTACAAACATCTATATCTTTATTAGCTCCTTCATCTTAAATGTTTATACAAGTGTCAATGTGCATTGAAGTTTTCATTTCGATGCAAAACATTTTGACATATTTTTCCGAAATATACTTATTAGCAATGTTTATTGTATTTGTTGAACCCCAGTAGGGATACTTCATTTAAATACTACTTGTCAGACATTTTGTGTTGCTAAAATGCATATTTTTTCTAATTTTAAATATTATAATTTATATGTATAATCTCATCTAATCATAGTATTGTGTATTTGTAATACCATTTTTATCGCCCATTGTTTTGTTATATTCATTATAATATTTTGTCTTAATTAAATATTTATTAAATAAATATACATTTGTAAAGTGTCATTGTAGTTTAACCCCGTTTGGATTTGTTTAGAACGTGTAAATATTGAATGTATCTATAATATAACTAGATGTAATAATTGTCATTAAGTATATATAAGTCTCATTATAAATTTATATATAATATGCATATATAATTATTTAAGATAAATAATAACAATATTTTATTAATTGCGAAAGCAATAAAAATTTAATAAAATACAATGGAAATATTTTCCAAAAATAAAGTGGTTTCCAATTGTGTTTTTAAGAGGGATTTCTTTTTCAAAGGTTTTTAACGTCAAAATATAAAAAAAGAAATAATTATTTAATTAATCTGCGCCTATGATAATCCTTGAAAAAAAAAATATTTCATAAATCTACACCTACAGTAGCCCTAGGAAAAATTATTTAATAAATCTACGCTTATGACTGCCTTTAAAAAAAAAAAAATTATTTAAAAAATCTACGCCCATAATATCCCTTGAAAAGACAATTATTTAAAATATCTACACCCATGCAAGGTATATTTAATAAGGTGTATGCATCAGATACAACAACAAATGTTTTACAAAAGCAACATTGTCGTTATAGAAATTAAATTGTCATGCTGACAATAAGTTTTTGACATAAATAAACAAAAACAATTATTAATTTATTTTTGTCAAGAACTATTCTTTGAGGAATAAATAATTAATTTGTGTATTCTTGGGTTATTGGCAATTTTAGGTCAGTAAAAAAAGTTTAAGACCTGGTCGCGATTAATTTTAAGTTTCCCACAATTAGCCCATGGCTCCTTGTGATGTTGTTTATCTTGTGGATTACAATCTATTTTTTTTTTCTATGGAGTGTCTTCAAATCTTGCTTCTTAAAGAAAATTGAAGGACATAAATCCCCGGCCAAAGACCGGATGTCAATTCTACGTGAATTTATTCGCTTTTCCCCTTCGACTTATTCTGAACAACATTTTCCGGTGAATGTTTTCGTATTCTCGCTTTCGCCTTATTCTGAATGAAGTTCGAAAGTGAAAAAATCCGCTTTGGGGAAAAATTAGGTATTCTGGATCACAGGGAGTAGGAGAATGAGATGAAATTTTGAGCGAAATTTTTCGCTAATAAATTCAAAGGTAGCTGACTACAAAAACATAAGTAATAAATATTTTTATGAAAAATATTTACACAATACTTATTAGAATTTTATAAATGATAGTATGCAATTTTTTAACGGGAAAACAACGAATAAAATGCTATTGGAAATCCTATTGAGTTTGATGCATTTTTGAGGCGAAATTCAGACATTTTGGGTGAGGATCTGTCTCTCTGTCTCACAACAGTAAAAAGCTTAAAAAAAATTATGAAAGAACAAAAATAATAAGGCTATTTTTTTCAAAATTATCTTTTGCATGATTTGAAGGAAAAAATAAAGGAGTAGGAGCAAATCATAACATAACTGCCCACTTTAAGAATTTGGGGAGATAAAATATCGGAATTACATAAAAAGGCACAAAATTATGTAGTAAAATAATAAACTGTGAATTAATTAATTCAATCGCAGATTTCTTCATATTATTCGTTGTGTTTTTGCCATCATAAAAAATGTTCTTTTATTTGTAATCTATTGTAGTTGTTGCAACAAATTTCATCAAAACAATGAACAGCTGTTTCGCATGCCACATTGTAGGTTGCCATATTTTCAAACTTTAATTTATTTTCTTTTAATTACAAAGCATTTATACAGCGGATTCTTGATATTTCCCATTTGTATTGTTATAAAGTTTAAATAACAATAAAATAAAAAAATCAATAAATAAAAGATTGAAAAATATTACACAATTAAATTACAATGGGGCAACACACATTGCAAGTTAAATTACAATATGGTAACACACATTACAGCTTAAACCACCATTTTCGAAAAATCGAATCCGCATCTCGCATTTTCTGCATCTCCCTATTCATTCAGAATTAGGCGAGAATGTGAAAGCGTAAGGCTGTAAATCATGGAAATTGTGTTGGCCGTATAAAATCTTTCCATAGACGTATTTAACCTCCGCCGAGAATTACGACAAGCACCAAGGGTCCGATTCCAATACAGGCTAACATAATCTCCTCGATTTTATGAGTAGCTGGGATTTCTAGACAGATTTCCACACATAACATAAAATATGTGGACCAATCGGCGAACGTGGTTATAACTGAGCCCAAGTTTCCTTTCCGTCCCCCTCTATGAATGCAGCTTTCTTGAATTTTTATTATTTAAAAAGCCTAAATTTAAAACCCATTTATGAAATCGAAATGTAATAATTCAAAATGTTTTTGACAATTTACTTTACAAACAATAAAGAAAAAAGTTTGAAACCATATGATTGTCACTTACACCTTATTAAATACACCTTGCACCCATGATAGTCCTTCAAAAGAAAATTATTTGAAAAATGTACGCCCTGGTTGCCCATGAAAAGAAAATTATTTAAAAAAAACTACGGCCATGATTGCCCTTGAGAAAAAATTATTTAAAAAATCTACGGCTATGATAGGTCCACAGACCCTCCGACAAATATATGTAACTATGTCACCTTAAACACAGATAATTCCTTCTTATATTTATTTTTAATTTAAATAAATTAAATTTTAAATTTAAATGTTTATAAAATTCTTAAAGAATATTTTTGCCAAGAATAACACAGCCATAGGCGTGAATTTTTAAAGAATATTTTTGCCAGGAATAACACATCCATAGGCGTGGATATTTAAACACAGATCTAAACTATATTTAAATCTTTCACATAGTACACATGTTTTTTTTATTTTGACTCACAAAAATTGCTAGGTATTTCCTTTAAAATTTAGTACATTTAAATTTTGCTATTATCATTAAAAATTCCAAAATGTTGTTTCATAGCAAGCAAAATTTATTGAATCTATTATAAACAAACCTTGATGTTTCAATTTCAGAGAATTCACTTGATTTATGATAGTTTAATGAAAAGAAAAATCACTGCAGGTGAAAATGTTGAGAACATAATTTTCACAATGTTTTAAATTTATTGCATTAGTTTAGAAGGCAAACGTGACCAGGTAAAGTTTTGCTATTTTCACAATTTCAGGAAAACAAAATTTTTTTATTACAAACTTTGAATAAGCATATGTTTTACATTGTGGCCGTAATTTATTGAACCTAAACTATTCTGTGATTTTCACACAATTTATAATTTCCATGAAAACAAACAAAACAAATGTAAAACATTTGTTTAATATTGAGAACGTGTGAATTATACGAGAAATAACAAAATATTGGAATGTGTTAGATATGCCTCCCTAATTGTTGTAATATTTGTGTTGTAATAATAATAATAATAACTAATTAAAATATATTTTTCACACCCACTTATGAAAATAGTATTTATTTAATGCCAATAACATATGACTGCCGGAATGGTATAGTGCAAAGTTGGGGTCAGAATTGATTTGTGGTATTGACAAACCTATTGATTACTATTTAACTAATATTATATTTTATTAATTGAATGGCTTTTATTCTGTCAAATATGTTGTGTCACATTAAATATCAACTCAATTACTCATAAAATTTCATAATCATTCATGTGTCGCTTAACAAATTTCGAACTAGCCCTCCTCCTCTGCCCATTACTTATTGCGAATATTAATAGCCTTCTTCCTATTAATAGTCAAACAATGTTCATTGGAATATTCGGGTGTTTGGCGAAAGGTGTTAGTCTAAATGTTTGTCTGTGAGACAACATGACGGCTAAGATCAGTTTTTTTCTTTAGGACATATACACGTTCCCACCACATTACGCTTAGTCATCGAAATAATTGGGATTTTTGTATTTATTGATTTTAAGAAATTGTTGTTGTTGTTAATTTTTCTTTCAGTGGGAGTTTTTACACAATTTAATAAACAAATCACATACTTTGCCAATATTTGGATGGTATTTTTTAAACCAAAATAGGTGTTATTTTTTTCTATTTATGAGTATAAATTTAATTCGCAATTTTATTTTTGCTAGGACTGATGTGATGGAATGAAATGTGATTGGTAAATTAACAAAGCCTATTTTAATGATCTGCTGGAAATTAAGCAACTAAATGTCTAAAAAAATAAATTATTAACACCTATTTTTGACAAAAAATATTTATCCGCGCCTCTGATAGTCCTTGGAAAACATTATAAAAAATCTACGTCTCTGATAGTCCTTGGAAAAACTTATATCAAATCTGCGCCTCTGATAGTCCCTGGAAAAATATTTAATAAATTTATGACTGTGCTAGTCCCTGGTAAAAATTTTTATTTAATCAACGCCTCTGATAGCCCTTAAAAATATCTGATATTTCCATAAGTACCTTCCTCAGCCATGCAACAAAACTTCCTGCATACCCCAATCCTACACAATGATTCCAAATTCAAATTTCAGGATTTCTACACTATTGGTTCACCCACAATTCACCCATCCTACGCCCCCACAGTGATCCTAAATCCAATTTTCAGGATTCAATCTCTATCGGTTCACCGACAATTCAAATTGTACCAAATTTAGTACACATTAGTAACAATTTTTAAAACGCCCTATCCAAATCCTGACTCCAAATTTCATTGTTTCCGCTCTATCGGTTCACCCAAATCCAAATTGTACCAATTATAGTACGATTTAATATTTTTCGTTCACATCAGTAAAAATTTTTCAAAACTACGTGCATAACACACTCCTACACTCCGATGGTAATGTTAATTTCAAATTTCAGGATTCCAGCTCGATTTGTACCTCCAAAAAAAATTTGTACCAAATATAGTACCATATAGTACTTTTCGTACACATGAGCACACGCTTTCAAAACCATCTCCTTAAATGGACCCTACTTCTCAACCTTAATTCACACTCCGAATTTCATGTTTTTAGCGGTATTCGTTCACATGCTACAGAATTGTACCAAATTTGGTACATTTTCGTACTTTTCGGATAGTTATAGTTCGAATTTCCAAAAACCCGACCACCAAACCAAATTTCAGAGTTCTAGCTCCAGTGGTTCGCCAAATACAAATGGTATCACATTAAGTACTTTTCGTACCGTTCTAGTACGAATTTCCAAAAACCCAGCCTTATCTGTCACCTTTGGACCAAATGTGATACTCACCCAAAATTTCAAGATTTTAGCTTCAGCCGTTTCGTCTTTTATTAGTATAGATTGCAAACATATCGGTGGAAATATGCGGCTAATCCTTGCAAATATCGAAAATCGGTTGGTACCTTTATAGTGGAGCTATACCAAAACGTAAATCGAATATTTTTCTAAACACCCCAAAAATGATCCTAACTTCAATGTTCAGAATTCCTATTCTATCGGTTCTTCCAAAATTCAAATTTTACCAAATTTAATACCCATAAGTCTTAATTTCCAAAACTACATACATACCCTAATCATACACTCCAAAATGATTTCCAAATTTAATACAGTTTAGTAATTTTCGTATACATGAGTACACACTTCCGAAACCACCTCCTAATCTCACATCTCAACCTTGATTCCCATTCCATGCTACGAAATTGTAACATAGTACCTTTCGCTTATAGTTCGAATTTCCAAAAAACCCTTTGGTATATCTATCCTACACTTTGCAATGACCCTCAGAGTTCTAGCAATACATTAGAAAAATATTTTTAAAAAAATCCACGCCTTATATGGGCCTTAGAAAAATATCTTTCAAAATACACGTCCCATATAGTGCATTAGGAAAATATTTTAAAAAGATTATTATTGCTGTTAGTCCTTAGACATTTGAAAAATATTTTTTCATTCCAAGATCCTTAAAAATATTTTATAAGCCTTAGGTCCTTGAAATAAAAAACACCATTATCACATTAAAATACTTTTTTATTAAAAAATATATATCGTGTTTTTACAAAATAAAAATTCTATAAAATAAATTTATAAATAAAACCATAAGATATTACAACATAAATACAATATATGTTATTTCATTATAATACAATTATATGTACTTTAAATAATATAACTTAAAACAATCTACAAAATACAAACATCAATTAAATATATATATATCTTTTTTTTTTTTTTTTTTTGATCAGATGACCCAAAATGGCTTTACAATAGCGATGGATAGAAGGAATGTCAACAAATATCGTGTGGAGCACTGGATACATTTGATCTCTCTCTCTCTCTCAGCTATGAAAGAAGTAGTAGTATTTGTTGTCGTGGGAAGACGATGTATTGACTTCCATCTGGGTGGGCCAGATACCGGTTCCATTGTTGCATTGTGAAGAACTGCATTTGTTGGGTAGGGGTGGGGTGAAATGTATTAGTCTTTGGTTGGAGGTTTATTTTTTCGTCGAACGATTAAAAATGCAAATAAATAACTTAAAAGAAGTTGAACTAGGATTAGCTAAGAATGTGGACTTGGACAAGCAACAATTTGGTGTTTAACATATGGCCATTCACAAAACTGAAGATCTAAAGGTGCAAATTTCTACAAAGGCGAGGCGGCGAGTGCAGGGTGGACAACTCTACAATACTTTTGTTTGGTGCTAAGCAGAATGATTGCAAAATAATGACAGAAAAACTAAGACTAAAAAAATAGATGGCAATAGAAAGACAATGGACAAATTATGTATAAATAAGGATAAGGATGCAAGGTCAATACGAAAACACGAATTCAATTTAACATATTGACCTTACACACCTCAATGTAAGAATGTAAGCATTTCTTATATAATACTGCATAACTGTTTTTTCAAAAGGTATTACAAAAAATTGATAAATAATAGGAAACATAAACAACAAAGCTAGTAACGGTTATGATGTACTAACGTTTTTTCTCTTTAATTTTTGTTTGGTTAAATTTCATATCCGTTTCCTATACGATTTAGAGATTTCCATTCCAAATGTGATGATGGCATGATGTGGGCGGTGAGGGACATATGTATGTATGCATCAATGTATAAATATGTGTGTGTGTGTTTGTCAATGAATATGTGAAGAACCAATGGCAAAATGTTTATAAACAACATTTCATTTCAATTATTTTTTTGAATTTTGTTTTTTGATTTCGTTTTGCATTCTTCTACGCATATTTAAACGTCAATTCACTTATTTTCTTTACATCGCCCCACACCTGTATTGCCTGAATTTCGGACAGTTCGAAATATGGCTCGTATGTTGTTATACGATTTGGTTTATTATCAAAGATTTTGTAAACATCGATAACACCATCTTGGAATGCAAATTCTAATTCGAATACTGAACCTAAAACAGAATAATTAAGAATTGTGTTATTATTGTTGTTGTTATTGTTGTCATTATTTTTATCATCATCATCATTATCATCGCTATACAACACACCATCTAATGAGTCGTAATCCTGTTCTTGATGATCCACCCAACTGCCATTATCCTTGTAATTCTCAACGATAACATGCTCGTCCAATATCCATTTGAAATGATAGGTTATGAAGTCGGGATTTTTACAAATCTCATTGACGAAATTTATCGAGAATCTGCAAAGAAGAGAAAAGAAAAAAATGCAATTAGAAAAATAAATTAAAAAAAATGTATTTTTAAGGAATATTTTCGATTTTTTAAATCTAGAATATGGATTATTTAATAAAAAATTAAAAAAAAATATGTTCAAACTATAGAAAGGAGTGGATTCTTTAAAGGGAAAAAAATCGACCCATCAATAAGGAGTGGATTTGTTAAAGAAACAATTTTTGACCTCTTGAAAAGAGTGGATTTTTAAAAGAATATTTTTTCTAGGACATGCATATTTTTTCAGGATTCGAGAGGCGTGGATTCTTTAAAAATATTTTTCTAGGAATATTTTTAAATTCTATTTTTATAACCTGATTTGATTTTTGGTCTTTTTGTTGAAGTCTTTTATTTTCGATTTCAAGGCTTATTTGTAAAAGTACTTAAAAATTAAAGACCTATTTTAATTATCTAATATTAACAATATATATATATATATATATATATCACACCTTTTACTAAAGATTTTATACAAAGTTATTCAGGAATAGCAACAATATTGAGTTGTAAATAAGAAGAATATATAATCTGATATCTTTAGTTTGTTGCCAACCAAGTTTTGCCATTCACCCCAAGATCGTCATAAAAAATATTGTGTGTGTACGTATGTGTGGGACGGAATTCCTTATTTTTTGCCAGCCGAACTTTTGTGTTATGTGTTAAAAATAACTTCGTTACGTCAAATTTGAAATCAAAGTCTACCATTTCGATTAAAGATGCTAGCAACAACAAGAACAACTGAGCAAAACATTAATTGGGTTATAACGAATCGGCTTCAAACAGCATCTATGCGGTATGAACCGGCAAGTGATGATTAATATTGAAGATATTCAAATTGAATTGAGTTTTCTGACGACAACATTTTGAATTCGGTTTGGTTGTTTTTTCAAAGCACGTGTTGACTTTAAACATGTTTGGGGGGATAGATAGCGACACCACCGGTCAAAACTAATATATGATTGAATAGTTTGGTTGTAGTATTGATAATTCAAATTATTGCATATATTGTAAGCCAAAATTGTTTATTAAACAGCAGAGGTTTTCATCTAATAAAATTTATATTTGGAAAAAAATAAATTATGCTTATTCTTTTACATCAGGATATTTTGTATAGTCCTGGGTGTGGGTTTTTAAGAATAATCCAGTAAAATATTGAACATTTTCCTTTATTGGAAATTATTTTTTGTACATATAATAATCACACCAGAACAATAGCTCCTTGTCAACAGTATTTTTTTTTAATTTCAATTCCTTTTTCATGATAACTATTATTTTATGTTTAGCCGGACAATCAGTCAGTCCATGGCACCCATGTATTTATTTATTAACATATTTAAAACTATTTAAGGTGAATTATAACTGTTACATTACGATTTTTCCAATTAATCGTAAATCTGAAGAATTTTCCATACAAATTTTCGCAGAAAAACAAAATCCTAACATGCAAATTTAAAGTGCAAGAGTTTAATTGTTATTGCGTTCCCATAGAGGTATGCAAATAAGACGAGGCTAAACCTTAAAAGCAAACAAGGATAACTAACAAAAGTACATATTATGGCAAAGAAACGGTTTGATTTTTTTACACATTATTATTATTATTATTTTTAATGTTATTATCACTTTCATAATCGACAAGACAAACGGAGTGTCGATCATAATAAACCATTCCTGATGCTCTTTTCCGGTTTTGAACCCATGACCAAAGCTACAAATTTCACATTTATAATCATCATTAATAATGATTTTATTTATTTTTAATTTGTCAATATAAAAAATATTGTGTTTATATTTCTTTGCTTTTTACCCATTGGGGAAAACATTTTGCATGCCGATAATCTATTTCCAAGTCCTATTAGGTCAGCAGGTTAAAGTGTTTTTCTGTTAACAACAAACAATGGGGTAATAGTGTGTGAGGTTAATTCGTTATAGAACGGAAGTGTTATTTTCGTTATATCATTGAGGTTGAAGGTAAAATCTACATGGTATATTAATAATAAAAAAAGAAAAACAAAAACGGAAAACAAATGTTTATATCCCTTAGGTTAGCACAATTCCAATAATAAAGTATTATGTACTCTAAACTAGAGTATTACACTATTGTGATGACAGATTATTGTTGTTTTTGTTTTTATTTAACAGTTCATTTTATTATTATCATAATATATATTAGGGCACTAATCGTTATTATATCAACCAAAGATATTGACATTTTCTTTAGATAAATGCTATTGCGATAAATATAAATGTCTCTAACACTATGGAACAAAAAGAAAACAACAACTATGCATTTTTAGAATTTTCAATACACCCTCAAAATCTGAAGTTATAGCAAAAAAAAAAAAAAAACGTATTTTTTTTGTGTTTTTGTAAACAATCTTAAGTACAAACTTAGGTATCACAGAAACGTTGAAATAGCGATTTGACAAATAAATGACAACCAATATTTCTGAGAAGAATATTTTTGCCAACATTTCAAGATGCTATTAAATTCATTTTTATGCCGATTGAGATTTCACTAGATAAAATTGGATGTTACCAATAGTTGGGATTAGAATTTGCGGCATATGAAAAAAATTAATTTTTCGCAAGAACAAAAAAGTTGAGTAATAAAATTTTTGCCTATCTGTAAAAATCTTAAAATGGCGCCCCCTTGCACAGTTTTTTACCAATTGGAATCAATAAAAATTCATTCAACACGAAATCAAATTTGCTGTTATTTGAATGTGTTACAAGAATAGGTCCTTGAGGCGAGGATATTTTTAAAAAAAATATTTTTCTAAGACTCTAAATATAAATATAATACTCTAAACGAAGCGTGGATTTTTTTTAAATATTTTTGCTAAGGTTCTAAATATTTTTCTAAGGTTCTATATGAGGCGTGGATTTGAAAAAAAAATTCTAAGGCTTTATATTTTTCTGAAGCTCTATATTTTTCTTAAAGTACGTTTACATTGTACCGGATTTGGTTAACCGAGTGGGTTTAAATTGTCAATTCCTTTGAATATATGCCAAATAAATCCTCATAATGTAGGTTAACCCCGTAAAAAATTCTATTGTATATGTCGTATAGAGCTCTATATGAGGCGAGAATTTTAAAAAAAAAAATTTTTTATGTTTTGAAAATATTTTTTAAGGCCTAAAAAGATTTTTTCAAACTTTAAAACAAAAAAATATTTTAGATCTAAAAAGATTTTTTCAAGGGCTTGAAAGGCGTGGATTTTGAAGTCCTAGAAAGGCGTGGATTTAAAAAAAAAACATTTTTTAAGTCCTAGGAAGGCGTGGATTTGAAAAACCAACATTTTTTAAGTCCTAGAAAGGAGTGGATTTGAAAAAAAACATTTTTTAAGTCCTAGGAAGGCGTGGATTAAAAAAATGTAAAGCTTTGAAGGACGAGGATTTTTAAAAATATATTTTTAAGTCCTAAAAAGGCATGGTAGCTGTAATTTGACATTTCGTGTTTTTGGATGTCAAAAAAATCTCTGCCGACATTTTTTTCAATTTAGATACATAGATGATTTGGAATTTACCCATATAATGGTCCCAGATAAAATTCCAACCTAATCTAATTCCAAGCCAGTGTCGGTAATTTGATATTCTGTGTTCACTGTGGGTAAAATACTTTCTGGCAACAATATATCATAACATATCCCCGTTAAAAAAGTCCTATCGATTTTGAATGTCAACATAATGATAGACAGTTAAAGCCTGTCGACGCTTTACTTGTTATAATTTGTATACCATTTTCCACCGGTAATAACTTTATAACAATTTTACTTTTTACCTTTATTTTTCTTACAATGTTGTTGACTTTTTCAAAAAAAAAAAATCTTACAGCACACCCATTAAACTTACAAAAAATATATCGTGATTTCGAAATTAAAAAATAAAACGAAACAAAATGTAAGAAAAAAATAATTGCCCTTTTAATTTCAATCAATTTTATGTGAACACAGAAGATAAGCTGAAAATAATATCATGGGATGTGTATAATATAAGAAATAATAAATTCCATGGTATTCCTTAATTACCACAACAAATCGCCAAAGTTCAATACCAAATAGCCATTGGTCATGACGGTGATGATGTTGTCTGAAATACATTTTTGAAGGTGTAATTTTTTTTTAAATTGATTTTGTATTGTTCTTTGGCGAACAAATTCTTGAAATAAAGGCAGCCGTTGATAATCTCTTGATGACCTGTGTAAAGTGATTGAGTTCTTTTCCCTTGTGTTCTTTATTTCAAAGTTTCCTTTAATGTTGCCCACTTGTCTGTCTGGCATGACATCATCGTCGAGCAATTTGGGGGGTAATAAATCAGAGCTGTTAGACATTTGGTAGCCACAGCCTTTTCACATGAAATGATTCTTTTTGGTTTTGGATTTGTTTTGTTATATTTTTGGGATTTTGGATTTTTGATAATTACCTGTAAGACCATCGATAATGATGACGAGGGAATATAATTTCAGCATTTTAATAAATAAAATGTTAAATATTCAACTTTGAAAATGGTGCACCTTTAAATTAAAACTTGAAATTTCACAATATCTATTTCTCATCATTTCTTCAATTGCCAGTAATTCCCCTGTTTACACAATCAATTATAGAAAAAGGTTTACCAAAGACTATTTTGATTTTCTTATCTGAAACCTTATCGCAAAATTACCTTTTGTCTTTCATCGTCAATGTGAAATTAATAATTGTAAAAAGAATTTTAGATAAGATTCCGAAATGTGGAACAGAAAATGAGTAACCCACATATTGAATATAAACAATATTGTTTATACTCGAACATTCAATTTTACGATTAACAAAAAAAATCATGTGTTTTGTTCTGATTCAAACCGTATTTACTTAAATGTAAATATGTTAATACCCTCCATTATTATGTTTCGGAATGTAACTGTAGACCCCATTATTCGGTATATTTGGGATATTTGGTACCAATATATATTAATAAAGTAAATCAGCTAGCGAAGTCAGCTGTTAATTTTCAAGTCTAAGGGTACGTTTAGATTTACGAAATCCACTCGATCTCAAATGTCAATTCCATTGCTTATAAATCTAATATAACCCACCGGATTTGTGAACAGGATTAACGTGACGTATACGCAATGGAATTGACATTTGAGATCGAGTGGATTAAGTAGTCTTAACGTAACCAATGTCAACAATTTATACATTATGACTCCAGTAACTGTCAAAGTGCGTAATTTCTACTTGGATTCGATGTGCAATGTTGCCAACCATGTGACATATTATAAGAGAAATTTTGACAGATGGTCAAGTCAAAAACAAAGGTTTTTGTTTTGATACATCACCTTGTTATTGCGTCAATTCATAATATTGGATTTTGACAACAAACTTGAGAAGCAGCTGACTTCTTAATATTCCTTGTTAGGTACGTTTTTTACCGGAATTGGCTACAGTTTTATTTTTTAGGTTTCCCACCAAAAATGTGGCGAACGAATTTAAATATTTTGAATGACATTTTTAAATGAAGGGTATAAAATGTTCGGCACGGCTGAACTTAACGTCGTTTTTACATGTTAAAATTCAACTGTAAGTTTTACCAACTTCGGAAACACCTTCCTTGCAAAAAGTTGCAAAATTAAAAAAAAAAAAATGTTAAACATCTGTTTTGAATCTTTGAATATTTATGTTATTTATTTATATTGGATTTTGTTTATCCATACTGATATAATTTAAATTAATGATATAATAAAATTAATGAAGTCATAAAAATGAATAAATTATTACCGAATTACCCACTGAACTACCGGGACAAAATTCTTCTCTTTGATTTTTATAATTTGCAAAACATTGTTTATAAATTTGTACTTAATGATAATTGTCTACATTAACTTCCGAATATATTTAAATTAAAAAAGAATTCATACAATAATTGAAAACATCTGGTTCCGGTACGATCCGAAAATGAGTTCGCTCAAATTTAATTATTCTGTTACAGAAAATATATTTTCAATATCAGGGATTAATTATGAGATTAAAGAATTTTTGAGTAAAGATTTCCTTAAAAAATGTAAGGTGAAATGTGTGTCCGTCTGATCGCCTGTTGAAATCACGTATATTACTTACTAAGCTGGTTTGAGACATAATATTTGTTTTATAAGCCGAGCTTAAAAAAGATTTCCAGGCGCGTCGGTCTTGTGCGCATCTCATTCGAGATGTTGTCCTACTTGATCTTTGCGGTGAGCCATCAATTGGCTCGCTATTATATGTCTTTTGAGCTGAGGAATCTTCATCTATTCTCACAAGATGGCCTAGCCAACGTAATCGCTGCAGCTCGATCTGTCTGACTATGACGATGTCCGAGAATAGATGATATATCACATGGTACATTCGACGGCGATATTCGATCGGCCCATAGATCTTCCGGAGAAATTTTCTCTCAAATACTCCAAGAGCTGCATTATCTGTTTGCGCAAGTACCGATGCATCAGATCCATACAACAGGACGGGTAATATCAGTGTCTTGTGGAGTGTGTGTTTGGTCTGGCGAGAGGTGGCCTTGCTTTTGTCTAACACTATTCTCCTCCGGATTTCAAAGCTGATGTTATTAGTTTTGTTTATGGCGGTACCGAGGTATATAAAATCGTTCACTACCTTAAAGCTGTAGTTTTCAAGTTCTGCAGTTGGTCCGAGTCTACTGGACGTCTTGCCCGTTAATACCATCAGCTTGATCTTTTCGCCATTTACTGCTAGTCCCACTTTGGCAGAAACCTTCACAATTCGTTGAAAGGTGGCTGTTACCGCTCGTAATGTTCAGACAATATGTCGATGTCGTCGGCGTAGGCGAATAACATATGCTGTTTGGTGTAGAGAGTGCCATTTCTGTTCACATTTTCATCTCGTATGAACAGGTCACACGACAAACTGTCACCTTGTCTGAATCCTCGTTCGGTATTAAAGGGCTCTGAGAGGTCCTTTCCAACATTCACTACTGACTTTGTGCCACTTAAAGTTATACTGCATGACCGTATTAATTTTGCAGGAATGCCAAACGCAGACATGGCTTTAAACACCTCTGAACGGATAGGGCTGTCTAATGCGCCTTTATAGTCGACGAATAGGTAAAATGTGTCGATATGTTGAAAATTTCTAGTTATGGACATCTTCTTCTTCACCGTCACTATTTCATACCAGAAGCATAGCAAAATGCACCTTCCAGATCCTCACCACGATATCTGTGTCTGCACCAAAGTCTTTGTATTTTGGTAACTTTTGGCACACATTTCAATCTAATTGGTTGTAATTTGGAACTTTGAGTTCCTATTGGGTAGGATTTTTCCCTACATAGAATGATCGATGTCGGTCCAATTTTGAGTATAGACCATATCGCTGTACCTCCAGATATTGTGTATTTTGGAAATTTTTGTTCACGTTTTTTCAATTTGGGATTTTTTTTCACATTTTTCAACCGAATTGGCTGTAATATGGTACTTTAAGTTCCGATTGCGTAGCAAATTCCCCTACCAAAAATTATCGATATATGCTAACTTTTTATTATTCGGAATTTTGGATAGATTGGGTATATTTCCTAACCAAATTGACTATAATTTAGTATTTTGCATCCTCATTGCATAGAAAAATTCCCTACCAAAAAATTATCGATATCGGCCTACTTTTAAGGATAGAATTATTTGGGGATTTTACAGAAGTGGATTTATTTTGGTTCTCATTGGGCCATGGTAAATTATTGGTAGGAAGATTTACCATTCTAAAAAAAATTAACATCACATAGACCATCATTTGTGAAGGTCCCAAACGATTACTGGCTTTTTAAATGTCCACCTCAAGGTAGAGGTTATAAAACGTTATAATAATCGCACTTTTTCAAGTGCTCATATAAGCCATTCAGTGCACACATCGATTAACTCCACTTTTTTAAAATATAAAGTATAAACTTGTACAAATTATTAAGAAACCCAACATGCCTAAAGTACAGAGCGGAAAAGATATTGGTTCACATATTTTTTGTCTAGTGTAAACTCCACCTTAAATAGTTTGTTTTATTTTTTATTTGTTTTTATTACTTTTAATAGTAATACCTATTAACTAAAAGCCTTAATTTAATCAACATTTATTATAATTCTGTTCATACTTACTCCTGGGCATTTTCATTCAAAATTCCTTTTATTCGGATTTTATCGCCCCGTCGCAGGACATTGGGAACAATGTTGGTGGTATAGGCAATTGCTGGCATTTTCGGATAGATATTTGTTTTTGGTATTTCCCAAGTATTTCGCAATAGAAAATAATGTTTCAATAAAATTTCACTTAGTCTTTTTTGTTTTATTCTTTTCTTTTCAGGGCGTTGATCTATTTTAAGAAACGCATAAATTAACGATCTGCAAATTCTTTCCTTCGTGTTTTGTTAATTACTTAATTTGTTTGAAAATTTTGTGTTGGTATTTTGTTTTAAAAATTTATTTCATTCATAAAAACAAAATGTATTAGCGTTTGTTTTTTTTTCTTCTTTACTTTTCTTTGTAAGGATTACAACAACAACAAACTCTCAAAATGCTATGGTGATTTGTTTTTTTTTTCTAGTCTATATTTTTTTTCTCACGGCAAACTATGCGGTAACTATGAAGGTATGTATTAATAACGGCGCCGGGTTAATTTGTTTTTTGTTTTGCTATTTTTAGAAAATATTGAAATTTGCGAAATATTTTTTTTTTCGTTTTCAACTCTTTGATTTATGTTTCTTCATTCGCTTAAATACTTAACACAGCAAATTTCCATTAAAATTTCAATTTGTTAATAATGAAAATGCAATATGTTTCGTATATAATATGTATGTTGGACTTTTTGTGGACACTTTCACGATATGATATTCCGAACGAACCACACGAAATGTCTAACTCCACTAAGTTCTTGTAGGCAACTAATCGAAATGAGAGACAGGCCGTACGCCGCACGGTGTTCATGGATGTTGTGTTTGTTTTTAACGGTTCACAGCTCTCTTAAATATGCGAATGATAACATTTGTTCAGTGTTCGGTGAGTGTTGTCAATGTGAAGTGAGTGGAAAATCGCTAAATTTATTATAACATTATTGGTTGGTGTAAATATGTTTAGGTTTGTTGAAAAAGTTAAGGAACCAAATTGCCTGCAATCGGGTGGCAAATCTAACTACCGAAAATTATCAATATCGATCCCCGTTTTTGTATAGCCGCATAAAACGGTAGCCGCACTATTCGAAGTTTTATCGCCTGTTTTTCGATATGTTCAAGGGCTTATCATAACATCAGCTTTTTTTTCCTAAGGAACCCCAGTCATTTTATATATTTTGAATACCAATCTGATGGCGGGGGTTATAAAAAGTTCGACCCGGCCAAACTTAACAAAATGTTTGGTTGTTTTCCAAAATAAGGTAGAAAATGTCTTACTTACTTCGTTGGCTTGTGACAGAACGGTTGTTATATAAGCCTAGCTGCCTTCCCCTTCTGCGTTAACCATCACTTGGCCTGCTTTTATATGAATTTTGAGTGGGGCAATCCTCATCCATTCTCGCAACATGATCTAGCCAACGTAGTCGCTGCAGCTCGAATCGTCTGACTATGTCAATGTCCGAGAAGAGATAGTACAGCTCATGGTTCATTCGACGACGTTATTCACCGACTACGCAGATTGGCCCATTGATCTTCCGGAGAATTTGTATCTTAAACACTTCAAGAGCTGTCTTATCTGCTTGCACAATTACCCATGCTTCAGATCCAGCACGGGTAATATTAAGGTCTTGTAGAGAGTGAACATTTCCGGTCGCAATGTTCGACCCATTGTCGTCGGCGTAGGCGAATAAAATATGCTGTTTGGTGTACATAGTGCCATTTCTGTTTACATTTGCATCTCATATGTAACTTTCCTGCAGGATGTTAAACAGGTCACACGACAAACTGTAACCTTGTCTGATTCCTCGTTCGGAATTGAAAGGATCCGAGATGTCTTTTCCGACCTTTACTGCTGACCTTGAGCCACTTAAAGTTATCTTGCATAGCCTTATTAATTTTGCAGAAATGCCGAACGCAGACACGGCTTTAAACACCTCTGAACGGATATGACTGTCGAATGCGGCTTTATAGTCGACGAATAGGTGGAATTTGTAGATGTGTTTTTCGTGGGTCTTTTCCAGGATCTGGTGCAGAGTGAAAATCTGGTCAATGGTGGATTTGCCAGGCCTGAAGCCGCATTGGTATGGTCCAATAATGTCATTGACCATTGAGCCAACGTAACCTGCTACGCCTGAAGTTTTTTTATGTGCTTCCCTCCCTAAACTCAATTTTCCTTTCTAAGAAATAATTTCAAATTGACAATAGCTTTTACTATTGGGGAAATATTTGATGTTGTATAGTAAACACCGCGTATTTTACTTTTCTCACATTGACAGCACTGAAATCTATTCTCTATGTAGACTATTGAATAAAATCGTGGCTTTTGTTGTTATTTTTTCTCAATGCTAAATCTTTTCTAATTCATGCAGTGAAGCACGTGCTTAATTTAAGCTTTAATTATAATTTGTTTTTTTAATTCATAGAAATCTCTTCAAACGCATTACTCTTTATGTTACTCTTTATCTCTGAAATTTTAAAATCCAGTTATGTTTATTAACATTTGCTATCACTTTACCCATGTTAGGATTGTTCCGGTTTTGTTGGGGAAAAGCGAAGGAATATTGGGAAATACGTTTATCTGTATGTATGAATCATTTCGATTTTATCTCAAAGTTATTTAAAATTATTATTAAATTTTCTATGCTGCACTGGGTGTTGAAGTAAAATTGGTGATCCTTATCTAAACGTGATTGCAATTTCGTCAATTGATTGTAAGTTGAAAAATTGTAAATACAAATTGGAAATCCCCATTCAATAAGAGGCTTTCACAAACAATTTAGTTGAAGACTTTTCAAAATCTCTTTCGATTCACCACTCCTCTAGTTATCTCTTTAGAGTTAAATGAACGTAGTTTTATGCTATTTAATATGTATGTGCTTATCACATTCTATTTCTGGATACTGTTGAAAACAATAAAATACATGAAAATTGGAAAATACGTTTATCTGCCGTTATAAATAATGTTGAGATCGGGAAATTTTTAAAATTTATTAATCAACAGTTAATGCTATAAAACAGGGGAAAACACATAAAGTAACTTCGGGTAATGTGGACCACCATTTTCTTTTTTGATATTGTGGGCGTAACAACGGTAAAAAATAAAAACAAATTCTTTTCACAGCATGGTAGATTTGTTGGCTAATTATATTCCAGGTCAAAAATTATATATATTTGTCCATAAAAATGTTATTGCATTATATTTCAAAAAACTCTAAACTGCAAATAAAAATAACTTGGCGGGTAATGTGGACCAGTATGTGTGGGTAATGAGGATCAGTAAGTTGAAGGTAGGTTGTGGATTAAATGTGATAAATTTCAATTTATTGCACTCTTGGGTAACAATGAATGCAAAAATATATGGGTCCATGTTTTGGAATAGCCCCCATTTAAGGGTACCACCCCATTTGCGGTATCTTGAAGGTCCTTGCTTCATTATCCAACCGAGGCACCTATAATTTCGGATATCGAGTTTTCAGAGGACCTCCTCGCATATTAAATGCTCGAGAAAAACAAAATGTTCGACTATTTTACAAAATCGTTCGACTATTGCGCTAAAAACTATTTTTCAAGTCGCACTTTTACAATCAGAGAAACATTTTCACCTACTAAATTTTCACCATTGCAATTATTTATTAAAAACCAAGTTTGATGTTTGTTTTCACTAATTAGGAAAACATTTATCAAGGCGGAATTGGCATATTTCAAGCATTTTCTTAGATATGGGGGGTGGTCCACATTTGACGCATGGTCCACATTACCAGAAGTTACTCCACGAAGATTCAGGTTTTGTATGAAATGTCAATTTATAAAGGAACATCAGAATCAAACTTGATTTGGAACGTCAATCCTAAAGTTTTTTATGTGTTTCCCTATTAATATTTATTTCTAATTGGAATTAAGTTCGAAGATGGGACATTGGTCCCTTCTTCTGACAGATGATAAACTCTTTGATAAAAACAAATTCTTTATATATGGCTAATAAAAAGCCTGTGTAGTCTTGTCACAATTTTGAAAAAAAATAATTTAAAAATTCTCCACTTTGACACTAGAAAGTAATTTTCTATATTTCCGAAAACCATAGGCTGAGGGTATATTTGACAGCAACACCCACTGACACTATTTTACTTGTTTTCATTTATTTCAATTTATGGTTTTCTATTTTCTGCAATTTTAGAGTTTAAATACAATTTCCGTTACAATAATTAAAAAATATTAAATATTCTTAATCAACCTGTTTTATAACACAGGGTGACTATTACGTTTAGTTCACTGAATGAAGAAGCATATGGTTGCCCTGCCACTTAAGATTGTGCTACATGTCAAAGTGCGGTGAGATCAACCAATAGGAAAGCATTTCGTGGCTAATGAGAGACAATGAGAGCTAATCAAACTACAAAGCCCAGCGTACAAGAAACATCAAATAAAATGTAAAATAACTAAAATAATAAATTAAAAACAGAAACATTTAAAATGTATATAAAAGATTATTTAATAAATAATAATTTAAAGAACAAAATGTATTTAATTGTATGAAAACAAAGTAATTTAAACAATTTATTAGAAATGTTTGTTTTAATCAATTTGTAACGGCGTTAAACAGCTAAACAAATGGCATCGTTGGATTCTACTCTCTGTTTCTCTCTTGCTCTCTTTATATGGTGTTAAAAAAGTGTTCTTCTCATTACCATTTATAACAATTCACATTCGGCTGTCACACCGGCTAAAACCAACTTTAGTGGAATACACGTATTTTAGTTATATATTTTTGAGGAGAAAGTGCTAGAATTTAAATAGTGGAAATATTCAATAAAAAATTAACAGTAAGTAAAGATTTAATTGTTTACATTTAATACAGAAAACTCAACCTACAACAATGACATTTACCTCCCATAAATGGTCATCAGCTATCAGATGTTTTTCCGGGGAAAAATTGATTTAGCTTACGTGTCTTAAACAAACAGTTGAAAATTACTTCATATCAACTTTTTGTGTACTGAAATTATTTATTAATGAGAAAATTTGTTTCTAATTTCCAGAAATGAAATCTCAACTTGTTTTTACACTATTTGTGGGTTTGGCCATTTTGGCCCAAGTATCCTATGCCTTGAAAGAGGAAGACTGTGAAGGTATGCATTCAATCAAATTTGCTAAGCATTTTGGATGAATAAAAATCTAATTTTTAATTGTTATTTATTTTAGTTTGTGTTAAGACCATCCGCAAGTTTGCTGAATCCCTTACCGATGCCACCAAAAAAGATTACAAATTAATCGAAACAGAGTTCAAAAAATTCTGTAAGACACAGAAAAATAAGGAACAAAGATTGGTAAGTGGTTGCAGCCCCCATGAAATGCCGCTTGTTGATATTTTCTCTTTTGTGACGTAGTCGTCGTTGTCGTCTTGTGCATGAATGACGTGTCTGTTATTTGCTTTGTTACCATGTTGTTGTTGCTGTAAACATAACTAATGTTTGTTTTGTTGTTGTTCTTTTATAGTGTTACTATTTGGGTGGCTTGGAAGAATCTGCTACTGGTATCCTAAATGAAATGTCCAAACCCTTGAGTTGGTCTATGCCAGCTGAAAAAGTTTGCGAAAAACTAAAGAAGAAGGATTCACAAATCTGTGATTTACGTTATGGTAAGTAGACTAGAAGGAAATATGTATTTGAATCTTTATAATTTATTTGCAATAGGGGGCGTTAAGAAGCCATTATTTAGTTACATGTTTGAGGAGAGGAAGAACTTTACTTCCGGTTAGGAAGTAAAAAATATATTTTCCTTTTTTTGGAATTACTATGAAAAGCCGCAGAGGAATATCTATATAACATTTTCAGCAGCAATTAGAGAAGAAATGCAACTATGTGATTTTTTTTTTCAAAACAGGGTACTGAAGGCTTTTCTAATTTTTGTAGATTTAATTGTATCGAACACATTTAATTGTTCCGGGAAACTATCAAAAAAATCTTTGCTAGGGATGAAATCACGTTGGTGGAAGGTTACCGGATGTCTTGAATACATTTCCCGTTTCCTAAATAAAGATTATTAGATAAGTATATTCTGATGTTTTTTTTTTTCTTAATTGAGATATATATAGAATATATTAAACGAAGATTGACCGACTATCTACAGGGAAAACTTTTAAGGATCTACAAAAGGATATATATCAAGGGATAGAATATATTAAACGTTTTCGTTATAAACGAGACTTCATAAAAGTAATCTACAGATTGAAAGCCTTCGACTATTAAATGTTTTCTATAAGCTGAAGACTTTTCTATAGAGACATGGTTCTAGTGGTATAGTACCGAATTCACCAGGACTATTTTCTTTACCGTATAAAAATATTCATGAGAACTAATTAAAATAAGATCATCACATCTTTTTTTAATTTAAAAACTTTCCGAGGTATTTTATAGAACCATCCATACAATAACGACCTTTTTTAGGCCATAGAATAAGATCCTCAATTCCTTGTGAAATATAAAAACGTTTAAAGGTCTCAGTAGGAACTCTTTAAAAACCTTATGTACTCCTGACTCCTTCCATTTTCGCATAGATTGATGATCTTAGCAGTATATTCAAATGATTCTGAAGATACAAAGGAATATGACAGGTATTCGGTAGGAAAAAGGCCTTTAAAGTTTTTTATATCTTCCACTTAATGAAACTACGTGTCCATTAAAAACAATAAGTCCACATATTTTAAAATTTCCCATATTAATATTTTTCTTTACTTTTTTGCAGAAAAACAAATTGATTTGAATGCTGTCGATTTGAAGAAGCTCAAAGTACGTGACTTGAAGAAAATCCTCAATGACTGGGATGAGACCTGTGACGGTTGTATTGAAAAGACCGATTTTATTAAGAGAATAGAAGAGCTCAAACCTAAATATGTTCATAGTGAATTATAAGGAACAAAAAAACCACCAACAGTTCAAAGAAATACAACATTAAAAATTAACACACACAAAAAGACTTGAATTTAGTTTACATAAAATAATAATAAAACAAATAATAAATTAAAAAATACAAACACATTTACACAAAACGTTTTCATTTATTTTTAATGGAATTTTATTGTTTAGTGCTTTTATTTGATTTGATATTTGTTTAATGCATTTTCATGGCAGAGTTGTGGAGATGAACAAAATTAATATAACTAAATCGGAATTTATCTATAAAGATTGTTTTTATAAACCACAGAAATTATCATACAGAAGAGTTGATCTATAACTTTATAATTATATCTGTTACCTTATAGAGAATTTCGATTCTTGTTGCATGTATGATATCATACTCATACTGACATTAAAGTATTGAAAAAATCGATAAGCTGGTCGAATCGAAAATGTGAACAAATTCGAAAATATGAACTATTTTTATGAGGCCCACAATGAACGTGAAAGAGCCTTGTGAAAGGTTATTATTAAAAATAAAACAAGCAATTACAATTATTACACACAATAATATAGAAATGTTTATTTTATTTTTCTTGGAGACAAAATACATAGATATTTTTTTTTAATGATTTTAGCTTTATTTGGTATTGAAAAGAATAATTTTATTTTCAAAATGGCTAGTAATGGGCAAATTTAGAATGCTAGATTTTTGAAATTTATAATAAAATAATAATAACAATTTCGATAGATAAATTTGTGTGGATTAGGAAAACAAATTTAATATTATTTTATAATTGCAAATTCGGACATTTAAAATTAAAACACCTGAATTATTTATATTTTCCCAATACTTCTTACACATTAGTTTGCACAATTAAATACTGTACAAATTAAATTTTGAACGCCATTTTTTTAATTCGAATTGTTTTAAACTTAATTTCAGTTATTTTTCTCCTTCTCTTTTAATTTTTTAAGGTTAAATATAGCTTAAAACTAAATGTTTATTTATTATAAAATAAAAATAGTCATACAAAAATTAAATAAATATTAATAAAAAATTGTTAATAAATTAACTCTATTGGTGTACAAAAAATATTGTTCGCAATCGGAAAATTAACGTCTATAGGGCTGTTTATTGTAGCGTCCTCTTTCGTTTTCTTGGGCCAAAATTGTGTATTCACTATAGACCACACACCAGCAGTAGGTTAAGATGGCTGTAATGAGACAGTAAAATATTCGAAATTAGAAAGTAACAAATAATAAATAAAGTTAAAAGGATAAATAAGAATAATAATAAAAATAATAAAAGACATCAATATCTAATAGAAATCAGCCTTAGGAGGTTATTTGTTTTATGGAGAGATTATAAATCTTATAAGCTGTTAATAAGAACAATACATTTTTAGGATGCTATTACATCAATTTCACTTTAATCGATTAGGTTCACTTAACATGTGCAAGTATTTAAAAATTCCTTTTTTCGATTTTAATATTCGTTGACAGTTTTGATATGCGCAATTTCAAAAAAGCTATCCCTTTGTAAGTGTTTTCATTGCAATTTCACTTTTCATAAATATATTCCAAATAAAAATTGCAACAAAATTTCCATACATAAACCTAACTCTTTAGTATTTGAAATGCTGTTGCAGTTTAAAGGTAATATAATACAAAAACAAAAAAGGCCAATAAGTGACAATACTGGATCCCGTAAAAGTACAACTCGTATATCAAATTTTATGACACACTGTCACTACTGCAACCCGTTAAGGGTTTTGGTTAGGCCATATTTATGGTACACACATACATACATGAAATGTATGTGTATTACAAATGGCAAACATCACCACATTGTTGGGTGGGTAATATAAAACGTAGTACCGAACAACTTTCATTAGCCAAACAAACGGATTGTGCGAAACTTAACCACATTTATTGTGTGGCCTATCAAAATTACAAAAAAAAAAAAAAAAAAAAAAGAAAATAAAATGAAATTATAGAAGACGAAGATAAACCCAAATTTAAGCCCACTACTCCTCCTCAACAATGAGAAAGATGATGCTGATGATGATGTGTTGTGTGTTCGATATAAACCGCCAAGTTTTAAATTACAATTAAGTTGTAAAGAGGAAAAAGTAGGTAATGTTTTACAACAAAGCTTGAAAGTGGGTTTAATAAACAAAGGGAACTTTCTAAATTAACCTTAAATAATGCCCTAGTTTTCAATGGAAATATAATAGTGTTTGAGGTTATAAAGAGGAAGAGAGAGTAAATTGGCTAAAAACCTTTTAAAAAATTTCTCAATAATCGTGAGATTATAAATATCGTATGAAGATAAAAATGTCTTGAAATCATCAGAAGGAAAATAGTTTAGAGTATTCTTATAATGTCTCACATATACACCACTGGAAGTGCTATTATATATATATATATATATATATATACATGTAAATCAATATTACTTACCACATGCAATCAAACCGAAGACAAGCCACAATACTCCAGATAAAACAAAGCCATCAATAAAGAATACGACAGCGGTGTAAATAACCGAAACCAATAGGCCAATTGCAATCATAATACCCAATACAACCCATGGCATCATAAGATAGTGGTTTCGCTGCAAAATTTCATAACAATAATTATTAATATCATATTAAATATAGTATTTATATTTTACACACCTTCATAACACCAACAATCATCAGTGTCGATATCAGAATGGTCATGCATAAATTAATGACCAAAATGATTTTCACAATATCTGTATCCAAATCGAAAAATATTGTCTTAAATGCAACGCGCGTTGTGAAAATGACGACAATAGTAATGATGGACAAGACTATGGCCAAGAGGCCCGATATAATGGAGCCATTACGAGTTGACGTACAGAAACAGCAGGAATTCAATGGTGGATTTGCCATCTTGAAAGTCGGAGGAATTTATTTAACTGGAAAGAAAGAAAATAGATTAGGATTAAATAATTTGAAATAAAATTTAAAAAGTCTTTTTTATAAAAAAATAAGTAAACATTTTGAATAAACTTGTTGAAATAGATAGATTTATATATCGTATAATAGTACAAGTTGATTTGAATAAGAAGATTGCAACTGTGTTTTGGAATCACACTGGAAAAACGTAGACCGGGGAAGGTGACAGTGTACCCAAGTGATTGACCTATAAATGTATACCAATAATATTGAGGTATAAATTTTTCATTTTAAGAACTTCATGGGAGACATTTTGGGCCAAAGGTTGGCAGCCGTGCACATTTTACGTTTTTTGTTCATAAAACGAAATAACGACGTTTTTTCCCATTTTTTTTTTATTAAGTAGTCTCTTACACTTCCTTTGATTTTATTTATGATTTAAAAATATAAAATTAAATAAATTCCGCTGAATAATCCTTGTTTTTATTTTAACAAATATTTAAGAGAATTTTGGCCCACCATTGTTTTGGGCGTATTTTATTTTTAAACGACAAAACTGGGTATTTTGCCTTATTCTGCTATACTTTTCAACATTTTTTTAAATTAGTTATAATCACACTATTCGCTCTATTAAATTAAATTGGGAAATGTCTCATTTTATAACTGAAATAAAGAACTGCATAACTGAAATAAATTCTTGGGCATGGGCTAAATGTCCCAATTTTTCTAATTGAATCATTGCAATTTTATTGATAACATCTTTATAACCGCCATTTGCATTATACTGCTCGCTCTCTCTCTCTCTCTCACACATTTTAATAGAGCAAAATGGCACAAACACCTGTTTTTGTTTGTCATCTTCTGTTCTTCTTCTTCTGTTGAAGTCGCCATTAGTTTTTGTCGCAGTTTAATTTCGTTCGCGTGTGTTTTTGTGTAGCTCCTTAAATTTACAAGTAAAATTATTATAAAATGTAATTAATTATTAATATTTGTTGTAGATAAATAGTTGAAGAGTTTTTTAATTGAAATATATAAAAAAAGTTTTGTTAAATGATCGCTTTACGTGTGGTATAATCGAATGTTGTTTGTGTGGTGCGTGTTTTGAAGAAGGAGACAACAAAATATCCATTATTCTCCGTGGTTATGTGAGAGTGGGAGAGTGTTGTGAAATGATCGAAATCTCTTTAAGTTAAGGTTAAAATGTAATCTTTAAATACAAAGGAGATCAAAATTATATTTTGTAATAAAAGAAGTGTTCATTCAATTAATTACGTTTTAATAGTTTTTTTTTTTGCAAAACATAAAATTGTATTAAAAAATATTAGTACTTTCCTCTACCATATTTCCCCTTGTTTTTATCGGTTCGTGTTTGGAACATCGTAAACGCGAAAAAATAATACAATACAAGAAAAATGTGTATGTATGTGAAGTTATATTACATCAAATGTGTACATAAAAGCAATAACCTATCACTTTAAAAATCGGACAAGCTGTGTGTTGACCTAAAGGTATGCTATATTTTTTACAACCCAGTAGTCGTTGTTAAAAAAATATACTTTGTGTGTTTTAAATATTACTTTTTTTTTGTCATAGTAATGTGACGTCCATGTTGGTCGTCATTGTTCGGTGATTAAATTTTTTTTTGAATACAAAATTTTATATTATTTTTTATAGTGAGATGACGTTTACCATTCCATAGAACAGTGTAAATATTTTAAATAAAAATGATATAAACGGAATGATGATTTAATACTGCGGTTGTCATTGAAAATACTGTTCATATTGTTTATATTTTTAATCTGCATGGCCGAAGTTCAAAATATATTTATGTAACCACAATCAATGTCAAATGAAACACATATAATGCATTTTAATTGCCAAATAAAAAAGACAGTACTCTCCCTTGTGAATGTGTCAAACCATGCGTCAATTAAAGTCTGTGAGATTTGATCTCAAATGTCAATTTCATAGTGTATACGTCACATATAATACACTGGATTTGTGAACAAAATTAACGGTGAAGTTCGAAATCGGGAAGATTTAATAGTCTAAACGCGCTCTAATGGTTCCTTATTAAGATTTTTTCAATCATAAATCTAAAATTCGACATTAAATGCACAAACGTAACAAGTAAAAATATCGTTAAGTTCGGGAACCACAACAAGAAGTCAATATTCCTCGTAAGCTAGTCTGGTTGAAAAATATATAGAAATTTTTACAAAGTTCCTCTTCGGTTGAAAAAGCGCAAGATATATTTATGAGGCTGTATAAAACACAAACCTACAGTTAAAATTGTCTTCTTCCGATAGACCTAATTCTAATCCGATATCTACTGTATATTGAAAAGCTCATAACTTTACCAAAAATTAAAATTTTGTAGATTTTTCTTCTCATATGTGTCGTCCATATTCAGGTCTTGGAATGTATATCTACTATCAGTACATTAAATATAAGCTCTAAAACATGTTTTTGCCTGTGGGCAACATTGGGCCATAAAGCGTTAAACAAATTCCTCCAAAACAGTGTAAAAACGCTCTTTTAGAGGCTTCATGATTTTAAAAATCTGCGTTTGTAGATTTTTAAATCTTCCTTTCGAGTCGTGTAATGGCTTCCTAAGAGTGGCAAAAAATCACTTTTTTTTTAAATTCAAGCTTCTAAACCTGATACGTGTAAAAACTGCGTAAGGCATAAGCATTTTTTAAAATCGTACATGTCCCGTGATATGGGACAATGCAAAAAGATAAGCCTTTAAATGTTTTTAGTAATCTAAAAAAAAACTTTTAAAAAATCACGGCTTTGAAACCATATAGTTCCATAAAAACACTTAAAAATCATATTTCTTAAAAGCTTCAGAGTAATGTAAAATAGCAGAGCTGTGTTAATACTCCCACAATGTTGTGTAAAACCCCCTCTGATACGTGTAAAAACTCCAAAAGAGTCCAAATACTTTAAAAAAAATCACGCATATAAATTCGTCTGAATCATTTAAAAATACTCTTAAAAATTTTAAATCTGCAAAAATCTGAGTCGAGTAAAATACTATTAAAATTTTACGCTTTTAAAACTATCACACTATCAGTGTAAAAACTGCTTCAGAGCCGTGTAAAATCTCCATCAGAATCGTGAAAAACTTTCTCACGAGTTTCCCTCTTGTCTTACTTTTTGTTCACAGTACTAAAAATTTATTGAAAAATCCAGAATAGTAAATAAGAATATTTTTCGAATTGTTCACATAAAATTAAAAACAACAGTCGAAACATCATTATTGTATTTCAATTAACGCGTAATTGAGCAAATTGTTTAGAGCGAACAACAGACAACCTTTTTTAGGATTGCACAGACAGACGTCAGCACATAGGGATGCTGACAGAATTGTTTCGTCTTCGCATATCGACACCTCAACATTGTTTCAGTGAAAACGGGAAGTTGTTGATGTTAATGGAAATGCGAAAAACGCCCGCACACATTAATTTAAACGATTTTTCTTATATCTGAGGCTACTAATTGGATCATCTGAGAATTTAGAAGTTAAGTTAAATGCCTCTAATAATTTAGAAAAAGTGTTTTCCCAATTATCATATTTATTTTCAATTAATAACAATGAATTTGACACAATTACTTCATATCAAATCAATTGACATTTTTCAAAGAAAAATTCACAATAAAGTAATTGATTATTGCATTGCTAAAAATAATATTGAAAATGCTTAAAAATAGACATTCCACAATTGTTATTGCATTGTAAATATTTATTCATTCATTGATTAGTAATGAAGTGAATTTCCGTTTTTGTCGAACAACAACAGATATTCATTGACGGTAGGTGATAATATTTCACAGTATACTACTACAGGTGTAAAGAGCCGCGTGGCCGTCATCATCATCTTAAAACTCAATGAGGCACACGTCATTATTTTTAAACTTCCAGAAAAGAGAATGCTAGACTTGATTTCAATATTCATATTAACATTAGGGTGGAACGAACTAATGCGTTATTAAATTAAGCTAAATCAACATCAGAAGTGCGAATGGTTATTTTTATTATTACTTAGCAAAATTAGAAAAATAGTAAAATATATTGATTGTTCTGGAATACAACTAATGTATTTTGCCATCAAATATGCGAAACAGCTGATATTCCTGGGATAATAATTAGATCGTCCAAGCATACCAGCTGTTTACCTTATTTGATGTCAAAATGCAATTCTTGTTTTCCAGAACCTTAATATGGTACTATATTTTACTGCTGATGACGACAATTACACTCAATGTGTTTTATGTCAATTCATCACTTAATTGTGATTTAAATTTGAATTTCTTTTATAATTGTGTGAAGTAAATTATTTCCGTCAAACATGTTCAGTGTAAGTGTACTATCAGCCCTTATTAATTTCCTCACCTAATCCTCCCTATTATTTTCATCAATTATATCATTGAAATGCATGCATACAGGTTCTCCAAATTCAGTCACATTTGTCTCGAACGTGGGTTTCTTATACATCAATTAATTTGTATATTTAATGACAGGTTTAGAGATACTCAAGTGTCGTTTATGTTCTCAATTTTTCGATTTCACACAAAAGAGAGGGAGATATGGTTGCAAATAAACGCCAACACTAACACGAGTCTCTTGTTTATGAATGAGTCTGAAGTGCCGACGTCTTGAAGCTCAGACAAAATTATTAATTTTTTGTTTATTTACGAAAACTAGTTATTAACTGACTGACATTTTTGAATGTCAATAATAATGTTTACATATTTATGACATATTATTTATGACATAATTTGGCTGTTTGAAGCGCAAACTACAATTGTAGAAAAATCTTGGTTTAGCGAGAAGTTTGCAGAATCAGCACGAGGATGATAAACCATTAAGTTTAGGTGTAAATAAGCTCATTTATATTTAGAAGGCATATATAAAGTTATCTATAGGAACCTCTTATACAATTTCCTCTAAGGTGAAAGGTATTGTATCTATTGAAATTCAATAGAAGGT